GAGGAATTGCTGCGGGACTTCCTCGTTCAAAATTTTGAAAAGGCTTGGACAACAACGTTTCGGTGTTCTCTTTTTTAAACGTCGGCATTTGCAGTCAACGCCAGATATATTACAAGCTTTCAGTATCGTTAGTTTTACTTTATCCAAATCCAACCAGTCCGGAAAATTAGAAACAATCACATTTCTTGCTCTACATATTCGTTCGTGCAGTTCAGAGGCAATTAACTGCCTTGCTTTTCCCATTAGAACAGAATTAATCTTTTCCAATGGGTTATTGATGTAGTCAAGCGTAAGCAGGTGACCTTTAAGCGGTTCAACGAAAGCCAGCGATTTTTTCATCACATTAAGTTGTGATTCCAAAGAGAGCAATGTATCACTTAATTTGCGATGAGGTTACTATTAGTCGAAGAAGAGATTCGATTTTCTTTTGGGGCCTCGCATTTTATTCGCTTTGTTGGTGGCGTGGAAAATACACCACGCTTAGCTTGCCGAATACGGCGAGACTTCAGTGGGGCCATTGCGATCTAAGCTTGTTAATGTTCAGACTCAGGCGCCAAGGTAAGATAATACAATGAAAACCAACAATACAAAATGTTAACATCTGCCAGCTTTCGTCTTCTCATGTATATATATATATATATATATATATATATATATATATATATATCTGGTTGGCGGCATCCGGTTTCGGATTTGCCTGTCACTGTGGCAAGCCACAGGACGCCTGCGCCTACAGAGGGACCATGGATGGCTTGCGCTGCACCACCCACAGCTCCAACCACACACCCCATATCCAGTGTAAACCCGAAGGAATAAGACCGGGAGGCATGTGGATGGGAACCACGTTTCATCAACGGAGCCGGCCCACACTCCTTCACAGGCAAACACAAGCACACTGTATTTGGGGAATCAAGCGAACACAAGACGGTGGCTGGACCGTAGTCCGCTCCACACTGAGTGCATGGAACCACTCTTTTAGTTTAGCATGGCCACAAGGACCGTGAACCCCATCCCCTCCAGCAACGACCAACTGTCTCCTGGAGCCAGTATGGACGACGTAGTGAGTAATAGACAGGTAGGCACCTTGTCAACATGCACATCAAGCGCATCCACACCGGGGATATCAAACAACAGCCAAACACTTGAGAGAGAGAGAGAGAGAAAGAAAAAGAGAAAAACTCGATTAATGCATAAGGAAACGGTGATATAAACCTTAATTAAATAGCATTTGTAATAAGTTGTTTACAAACAAATCCTAGCTAAGTGCACGAGGTCAGGAAATATAGTTCACGGAATGCCACGAACACAAATATGCTACGGAAATCGAATACAATTGCCTTAGGCGAGGTGTGCAAGTTAATGGAATAGAGTACTGGTAGACATTTATATGAGAAAGAAAAGCATTAAGGCACAAACTGTAAACCCACCACCTGAAATAAAGTGACTTAGCATGCAAGCACGCGGTTAGTAAATCGAATTCAGCGTGCCTACAAACGCTGCGCCGGCTCGCCGTAATTCTCTGCAGGACCCGTCGTCGCTTCTGTAGTGGCCCCAAATGGCACAGCTCATGGCCCACTAGACATTTATATGAGAAAGAAAGGCATTAGGAGAGAATCGCAAACCCACCACCTGAAATAAAGAAACTTAGCATGCAAGCATGCGGTCAGTAAATCGAATTCAGCGTGCCTACAAACGCTGCGCCGGTGCTGCCTACGTTCACTGTTGGACCCGTCGGCGCTTCGGCAGTGGTCCCGAGTGACCTCTCTCATGGCTCACTAGGCCTGCCTGACTAAGGCACTCGCGACCGCATGTTCTACAGCACCATGCGCTCGATGTCGATGGAGTACAATTCATTGGTGCTTGCCGCTTCCGCACTTGCCGCTTCTTCTCTGCATGCATGAGGGCTTTCTCCCGCACTTCAGCAACTGCCTTCGTGATTAGATCGCGCCATGAACCACGATCAACCGCCTTCGATTCCCTGAGATATATATATGTATATGTATATGTATATGTATATGTATATATATATATATATATATATATATATATATATATATAGGGTTGGCGGCATCCGGTTTCGGATTTGCCTGTCACTGTGGCAAGCCACAGGACGCCTGCGCCTACAGAAGGACCATGGATGGCTTGCGCTGCACCACCCACAGCTCCAACCACGTACCCCATATCCAGTGTAAACCCGAAGGAATAAGACCGGGAGGCATGCGGATGGGAACCACGTTTCATCAACGGATCCGGCCCACACTCCTTCACAGGCAAACACAAGCACGCTGTAGTTGGGGAATCAACCGCACACAAGGCGGTGGTATATATATATATATATATATATATATATATATATATATGCGGGAGAGCCTATGATGCGCTTGTATGTAGATAAACCAGTGTGCAGCTGTGTTCATGAGAACGGTTTCTATGATCCATATATTTCAGCACCCATAAATCTCGCGCATTTAACCGTTATAGCAGTTCACTGCAATAGGACAGTGCGGCCGAGTGGTTTGCGCGCCTCGTTTGCAACCAGAAGGTCATCGGTTCGAATCCGTGTATGGGCGGGCGTCCTCGCGGTATACTCAGTCGACGCGCGACTGATGGTGGTCGCGTGGCAACGAAGCGTAGTTACGGCATGCAGCTGACGATATATTTTATTTATTTATTTACAGCGCTACAATTCAGACACAGTGAACACTTCAGAATAAAGTTGGTCTTGTGTAAAATTGTTACGTAAGGGATGTGGCATGATGGCAACGTAGCGACAACAGGTTCCAACAGAACCCGGTATCCCAGAGAGGAAAGCATCCATCGACAGCAAGCAAGTTCAATTATCAGCTCCAAATGGGATTACCAATTGGAAAAACTCAAACGATGATGTAATTTGGCACCAGGAGCAAAGAAAGTTTCGAAAGTAAAGGAATCTGCATGTTGTCTGCTAAAAACTCCGTAGTCCATGGCCGGATTCCTGTTCGGTTACATTATTCAAGTAAGGACTGTCGAACAGGTTTTCGAACCAAGGACGTACAGGTTGCTGGCAGACACAGTTACTCTTACGCTACCTGACAAAGCGAGAAAAGATAGCCTAAACAATCAATAATTCATTGCTGGTTTTGTTTGAAACACAGATGTGTGAATTTGAAAAAAAAATATTCACTAGGCTTTCGGTTAAATTGCATAGATGGGGACCTAGAAAGAAGGGTCATTATGCCACCAAACTAGCTTACTGGCAATAAATCATGAAATTATTGTGTTAGTGCCCATTCGTTTATCTCCTCACTATGAATGTGGGAGCAAATACGTCAACTGGATTGCCCATGAAGATTGACTACATTTCGTGCACCTAGTCGCAGACGAGATATGCTCAAGTTGCATTGCATGCCATGACCTAGGCAAATAAAAAACGGACAGCATTGTCCAATTCTGAATCAGCAGCTTGTTGGAGCACAGGCGACTGGAACCTAATTCGTGGGAATACGTAGAACTGGTGATAAGCGTCGGTCTAACTAGTTGCCATGCGTGCCTGAACACCTCTATTGGAAGCACTGATGAGAGATTAGCCAGAGTCGGTCGCTCTGGTTTTACCAATGAGGTTGCATATCGAGAGCTTATACAATTCCTTCTAAAGGACCGAATTATGCCCCCAAAAGTGCTACAAGGAATTGTAGAGAATAAGTGGTACAGACAAACTAAGAGGCTATATCTTGCCCTTGTGAGTTTATAAAGGAAGTGGTGGATAAGCGACACGGTTGGCAATAATAATAATATAATAATAATAATAATAATAATAATAATAATATGTCAGCTATAGGTCGTAACGGCGCTTCGCTGCCGCGCGATCAGCACCAGTCGCGCGGGCTGAGTATACAGAGAGAAGGCCCACCCCTACGCGGATTCGAAGCGGTGACCATATGATTGCAAGCCAGGCGTGCAGACCACTCGGCCACCGGCCGACGACACGGTTGATAGTCTCCAGAGATGAGTTTTGGAATTGACTAAATCCCGAGGAATGCTAATCTTCAGCAATTCAAAAATTTCCATTTAATACAATGAATCAAAAGAAGGTAGATCATGAGTGAAGAACCCTTTTCGGTAAATCACGTTTGACTCAAATTTTACATGATGACGAGTGCATATTAAATGTACCGGATAGGGCTACATACTGATTGCACAGTTTGATTCCAAGGGAAACAAATCGATAAATCGCGAGGTCGCTGAGGGCAGCAAACATTAATTGGGACACAAATCAAAGGATCGTATGTCATACGCAGGCCACGGGCGTACAAATTGTTTTTGTATGCACAATTCCGGCTTGGGGCGACGGATGTAGATAGTTTCTGCGATGGACAGATGTTTCCGGAATCCGCGTGAGAAACGCTCAGGTATGGAGTAGATGACCTTGAAGTCATTTTCAGAGACTGCGTGACCGAACTCTAAGAGGTGTGATCGTCATCATGTAAAGTTTGTGTCTGACGAAGTTTACCGAAAAGAATTGTTCACTCAGAATCTGCCGTCTTTTGATTCATTCTACTAAATGAGAAGTTTTAGAATTAACCGCATAAATAGTCAAAAGTTCATTCTGACGAAAATTGTAGCTCAGCAATCAATGGTGACCATACGCTCGAGACATTGCCATAAGCTGTTGACCTATCTCTTGAATTTTTATTTACATTTGTGTAGTTTCGCTTCCACCCCCCTATGTTGTAAAACGGTTATTATCATTAAAATTTGGGTCAGAAGGTAACCGGATCCACTGAGGTTCTGTGCAACGAATTGATGGGAAATTGCAGAATGTAGCATGACTTTTGGTCACAAACGACGATTCGCTGACCAGCTGATATGATGAGCGGCCGGTTAACTCTTCTGACCAGAATTAAACCAAAACAACCAAGTCGGCAAGTATAGTTACGACACCAGTAATGTGAGGAAAAGGTGAATTTAAAGGGAAGCATAAGACTAGAAGTGAGGGGACAACAAAAAGTAGGCTGTCTTACTTGCGGGGAATACTGCCCCTCGGCAACTCGGATTGGGTTTCTTGCGCGCGTACTTTTTGGAAATCCACAAACTTGGACTCGCTTGTCAATAAATCGAATCGGGTACGATTGCCACATTGAGGGTTGAAGCAAACTGATGGCTATAACGGGCGTGAATGTAAACCAACGGTGTACATTACCTGTGTGTACTTGAAAGATTGCTCCACGTTACGGATAACCATTTTACACTCCATGCAACGAAACGTGCCGAGGAGCAACTCCGGGTGAACTGGATGAGATCGAACGACTTGCGCACGTATTCTGAGTAAACGTCCGATTTGACTAGCCGTCAACTCCCGCACTCTGCAGACAACGTCATCAAGAAACAGCTCACCTGTGAAGTGCCGGGACATCAGAGAAGGCTAAATAGAAATCACGACCAGAGTCTTGTGTATCAGGAACGTGATCATTTACGAAGTTTTTGACAGCAAGACACATCTCTGGATACGATCTAAGAATGCGACAGCGAGCCAGAGATGTTACCTGTAATACTCATCCTGAATAAGGACCGAAAGTCTGGAGTCCGCTAGTATGATATCAGTGAATTCAACGGTCAATGTGCTTCTTTCGAGCTGTTTGAGCTCCTTGGCACGTTCAACGTATTTCAAGGAATCGTTTTCTGTAAACCTACGAAATATTTAAACAAACTGTCTCACGTTTCTAAAAAGTTATGTAAAAGTCTCTGACATTCCACTGCGATGGCATCGGACACCCGCACAGTTCGAACCTCAGACTGGGCCACATCCATCGTACTTTATCAATGCGTCCAAGAGTGTGGCGAGCAGATGTGGGCTGAAAAAGCCACAAAAGTTAGAGTTTCGTACCAAACGGATAGAAAGGAAGCGGACAAGCTGAAGTAGACGTACGATCGTGAAATGGAGAGAGAGAGAGAGAAAATGAACAAGTGGGCAGCACATTAACGTATCCTCTGAACGGAACTGTACAAGGTCCTTCGAGAAGATGGGTGAGCGCTAAAGGCTGAGCAAAGCCACTATGTGGTAAATACATGATACACATGGACACAAACATCAATCAATTCACATGAAATCGCACGAGTGATAAATAGGTAGCCAGATTTTTCGCGGGCAACTTCCGGATACTTTGCAGGCGAAGGTGGGACGCTTAACCTACCCGCGTCGTTTCAGCAAATGCAGACGGTACAAAAAACTGAAAAGTTAAATATCTACATGCATTAGTTTATTGTAATAACAAACAAGTACGTCATCAGTCAGCATAATGGATGCTCTACTGAAGTTGATTTGTTGCTTGTATCATCTGGAACCACAGCTGCAAAGTAATACATCCCAAATGAATGTATTGTACGTAGTAGATCTCGACGCTGCATCAGCATGGCGTGAATTTGGCGCACTTGTCCTCAAAATTGTGTTTAACCAAAAGCACCGCTTGCAGTGTTTGAACACCATCATCATCATCATCATACACGTTAGCTAGAGGTGGGAAACACCTCAGCTACTGTGCCGCAATACAAAGAAAAAAGGAGAGAGAGAGAAAAAAACAACTGGTGAAAGCTGGCTGAGCTACCGGTAACGGATGGGCATCGTTCCGGTAAGCTACCAGCCGGCTGCTGTGCACCCAAAAAATTATTATGCAACATTATATAAGGCTAAGTAATGAGATCGTGGTTGGAGGGGGAGGCTAAGAGGGATAAAGTGGGACAAAGAAACTCACAGCACGAACGCCACTGAGGTCGGCTCCTAGCCATATCAGCAAGTGTGTCCAACCAAACGTGTTCATCGTCTTTCGGACCCCAACCAGGGAGCCGAGACGCCCCAACCGAGGCCAGCTTCGAAGTGAGGGTCTTCATTCCTCTGGACCAAGTCATCGTTTGGCCACCCCTCCTCTTCTTCCATACACACCCCCGGCGCGCAAACAACACACGTCGCGGGAGTCGGTGGGCTGGCATGCGTAACACGTGGCCGAGCCATCGGAGCTTGGTGCATAAGATGACGGTGCTGAGCGGTTCAGTTCTTTTTCCTGTGCCATAAACAAGGCGTCGAACACGCTCGTTACTCACGCGGTGCTCCCACCAAACGTGAGCTAAATTACGAAGGCACCGGTGGTCGAACGTAACTAGCCTCTTCAGGTCCGCTGCTTTAAGCGGCCAGGTTTCACAACCGTACAATAGGGTCGAACGTACTGCTGCATTGTACACTCTACCCTTCAGGGCAAGAGTGATGTCGCGCCGGCGCCATAAGTGGCGAAGGTTAGCAAAAGCGCCCCGAGCTTTTGCTATACGATTCGTGATTTCATCTTCAATCCCACGGGCGCTGACACAACTTCCCAGGTAGTTGAATTTTTGAATGACTTCTAGCTGATCCCCACCAAGGGTCAGCGTAGGAGGCGGTCCAGACCAATCTTGGAGAAACGCTTTGCACTTCGAGGGTGCGAAGCAAAGCCCGAAGTGACGGACAGCTAGTGCTAATCTGTCCAGTGCCGCTTGGCACGTTTGTGAGCTGTCACAGATGAGGGCAATATCATCAGCATACTCTAAATCAAGAAGTCGTTCTCCTGGGAGTAGCTCCACACCTTCCAAGTCGTGTCCTGTGAACGCGATTTCCATGACTTCGTCAACAGCGAAGTTGAAGAAGAAAGGTGACAGCGGGCATCCTTGTCTCACGCCGCTGGAGATATTAAAGGGCGACGACAACTTGTCGTAAGCCCTCACTCTGCCCGAGCTACGAGCGTATAATGCTCGGATAATATTCACATATTTCTCAGGTACACCTTTCCTGAGTAGACAGTCCCAAAGTGCATGTCTATCCACCGAATCGAATGCACCTTTGATATCGAGGAACACGACGACGGTGGGCCGCGAATATATGTGACGGTGCTCCAACAACTGACGCAAGGTGAAGATATGGTCAATGCAGCTACGACCTCGACGAAATCCAGCTTGCTCTTCACGAATCTGGCTTTCACGAGTGCCAGTCAGTCTGTGAAGGATGACAGAGGCAAGCAATTTGGAGGCGATGGAGATCAGACTGATTCCTCTATGGCTGCCGCATTCCGATCGTGAGCCTCCTTTGAAAATTGGGACTATGACGGAGCGACTCCAATCGGTTGGGACAGTTTCCTGCTCCCACAGTCTCACTAGTAACTCGTGTAAATCATCCACAAGAGCAGGTCCCCCGAATTTGAAAAGGGCTGGAGGAAGGTCATCAGGTCCCGCGGCTTTATTTAACTTCAACAATTTGATCTCATGTTCGACTTCTGAGCGAGAGGGTGGATCCAAAGGAACAGCCCACGGAGCAGGGCGATCACTGGTCGGCGAGAAATCTAACAATTCCGACCGATTAAATTGCCTTTCAAAGTGCTCAGCCCAACGTTCCAGGCGTTTTGGTAAATTTTGGATGGGCTGTCCACTCTCGTCACGTATAGTTTCACTAACACCAGGTCTCCTGCTGCCCGTTTCCCGTATCAGACGGAATAACTCACGATGGTTACCAAGGGCAGCGGCCATTTCCATCTCTGTTGCACGACGAGACCACCAGGATTCGCGGTCTCTCTTCAGGCTAGCACAGAGTTTTACCCGGAGCTCTTTGCGAGTTTCATTGTGTTCGCTTCCAGGCGGAATATGCCGGTGAGCATCTATAAGTTCCAAAGACTGTGAAGAGACCCAATGTTCATGTTGGCGATTAGACATACCACATGAGGATTTGCCTGCTGCTAGTAAGGCCTGTTGCATATGAGACCAGTGAGCTTCAATTGCATCCAGTGAGCGTTTATCCAACTCGGATGACAGCGTAATTTGATAGGCGTTCAGAACAGCTGCGAGGATGCAGCAGCCGTAAGACATGATGCTTGATTTCTTAGCCGAGAGGTTCATCACCCATGTGCAGCACCATGACTCAAGGGAATGTAAATCATCTTGAATGAGCAGTAATGTCCCGTGAACCTCGTCACGCCGAAACTTATAGACTAGTTTGATATCGTCAGCAAATAAAAATGATGTACCATGTTTTACAGATGTGGTGATGTCATTGATGTAGAGCAAAAGAGTAAGGGACCGAGCACGCTCCCTTGAATGACTCCACTGGTGATTGAGCGTGGGAAGAGCGATAATCACCTAAAGTGACTACCTGATGACGATCACTCAGGTATGACGATAGCCAACCTAGTAATGGGTCCCGGATCCCAAAGTTCTCCAACTTTTGTAGCAGTCGCTTGTGCGGTACTCGGTCGAACGCTTGGTGTATGTCAAGAAACAAGATTACTACTGCATAGCCGGAATCAATTGATTCTGAAATATGGCTAAGGTAATGCAGTTGACAGGTGGTGCAGGATGGCTTATTAAGAAAACCGTGCTGCGCATTGTTGATCAAGTCAATAAAATCAACAAACTTCATCATCTCCCCTAGACCAGTTTTCAAATAGCAGAGCGATTATCGGAGTGCGGTGGATTGGTCGGTAGATATCAATCGTTTGTTTGGGACCTTCTTTATGCTGAGGCATAATAAATGACGTTTTCCATTGGTCTGGAAAGTGGCCAGATTCCAGCGATAGAGTGAACATGTTCATCAGTAGCAATGGTATATCATGTCCTCCTAGTTTAATGTGGTTGGTGAAATGCCATCAGATCCCAGCTTGGAAGATGGCCTGATTAATTTGATAACTTGATGGATAGCGTTTAGCGACACATCGAATCTTCTTAAGAGGTTTTTTATTGTGGACACTGTGCCCACGGGCACCGGGTCAGCTTCGCGACTCATGGTAGTGGCAAAATAGTCGCTGAATATTTCACAGAGTTCACCTGGGTCATGAGTAAGTGACCCATACCGTCAACAATTTCGGTAATCAGAGAAGAGCGGTCACTGGTTCTACGATGCAGTATTTTGACAAGCTCCCTAGCTTTGCAGCATGTCTGATGGGCTGCACCTTCTTCATTTTTCGTCGTGTTAATTGCGCGTGTTTGACTCTGATGGAAAAATCATGCATTTGTAAGAAAAGTGAAAAATCATGGGTCCATCTGTAGCTTGCAGCTAAATTGTTGGGTTTTTTGCTGACTAAGTGCTCTGCGTAATCTATGGAGCCATGAGGGGCATGAACACATTGTGGAGCAAGACTATAGTGTGATGGATTTGTCTATGGAGCTGCTCCACAGCGGTGTACACACTGGTAGAGAGGAAAAATACATCCCAGTCGGAGAAACGAATGAACTGCTGAAGCATTCCCAGTTTATCTTATGGGTTGCAACTGGCGTTGTAGAGGCGAGTTTAGTGACCATTTTAACGCGGAAACTGAATCGGATCATTTTATGATCTCTGCCAGGGAGATTGTTTAAGATCTCCTTCTGTGGGCTGGGTATTCCCAATGTGAATATTAAGTCCAATACATTGGCCGACGTGGTTAGACTGGTAACCCATTGTGTCCAGCCCTCTGCTCTGGTGGAAGAAAGAAAAGTGGTGTGCAAGAAGACGTTGGGTGGGATGACCAGCGTATTTTTCGGTAAGTTGAAATCGCCGGCAATAATCTTCTGGCTGTGTGGCAACTCTGATGCGAAGTCAAATGCAGAAGTGATGTTGGTGATACTTACGTTAGACGCATTCGGTGGGTTGTAGATACATGCGAGCAGTGCGTAAGATGAGACACGCGCAACTGACAGCCAA